ACCCCACTCGTTACGCCTTTCCAGCAGGATTGGGAACCATTAATAACAACTCTCTGAGTACGTTTATCCAGCCAGTTATGCACCCACCTTATAGTAGCCCCATCTAAATTGTATTTGCCTAGTATGATGCTGCCCTCTTACCTTTCACAATGTAAGTTGTCACTTGTATGGAATTGTAATTATCTAAGGTCTTGGATAGGGATAATGGGCACTGACACATCATTTAATAGTAACTTTAGACACTTTCCACTTTTAACATTTTCTGTGTCTGTACTTTTTGTAGCCATCCCAAACTGTCAATAACTGAAAGTAGTCAATTTTTAGTTTTGCTTCCTTTCATGATAAGAGGATTCGGTGGAGGAAATACTGGTAAAGCATCAGGCTGAGAAATAGTAAGTCACCATGTTTTTATTCGGTGCTATCTGTGTAAATGTTTTGGTATCTTGGCAATTTGTTTTTTCTTTCTTCCTGGACCCAGCATCAAGCAATTATTTCTAGTTTCTAATTTTTAGAAACATTTTCACTGGATTTGTGCGTGTTTGGTTCTGATTTGTAAGTGTGTAAATTTCCGTGGAGTTGGAAAGAAAGCCAAGTTGGAAGGAAGGACTGAGCAAGAGCCCATACTTAAAACAGTTGTACAATACCAAGTGAAGGCAGCCATTCTAAATGTTCATTATTCATACCCTCCTTTCCCCAGCTTTCCAACTGCCACAAATATAGATCAGGAAAAGTTGTTCAATTTGTCTACAGATTCTAGATTGAGAAATTGCAACATCCTTTAAAAAAGTACCTGTTATGGTACTTTCATCAATGACTTCCCCAAAAACACATGAAATAACTAAATTGAGTGGATTTGTTTTTGTTTAGTTGGGGTTTCTTGGGGAAAAAAGATTACTTACATCAATGACTGATGACCTTGACAAGCTTAAACCCTCTAGGTCAGCAACTAAACTTGGAGAGAGAATAGCTGGAGTGGGAACTGCTACAGGAGTTGACACAGGATTGACTGCAGGAAAAGAACAGTTGATAGAAGTGGATTTAACAATTTTAAAAAATGAAATACATTGTTAAAGGCAATTAAATACTTCAATTAATAGCATGGATGCTAAGTTAGCATCTTGATTTAGCTGAGTTATGCTCAAGCATTTTTTAAAAATTAGGAAGATATTAACCTGGTATATCTCAGAAGATAATAGCAAACTCCCAAGGTGAAATTCATATTTACCAAAAAGTCTGAACTTAATGTAAAGTGCTTTGAAGAATGACGGTGGGAGTCCAACAGAAACTAAGAAAATGTAATAAATCAACTTTACTGATTTTATTACGTCATATGTTCAATACAACTTCCTTTTCTAAATTGATATAATAGTCTTTTGTTCCTTCTCCTCCATTGCTACTCTCATACTCTTCCTGTGTATTTCATACTCATTACTTCTGTGCTACATGAACAGTGCCATATTCTTTCATGGTGTTTGGAAAATTAAAGACAATAGACCTAAATCTTTTAGAAATTCCACATGCTTGTCTCTCATTGACTCAAATATGACTTCTGTATGCATTTCACTTTCAGAAACGAGTCTGAAAATAAGACCTATACAATCCTAAAGAATCCACACTACAGGGTTTAGACAGGAAAACAGTTCCAGATCTTTCCATCTTTTTTTAGTACTGCATTGTTATCTGGTCTTCAAATTTTAATTCATAATGTCTTCTCTATAGTAGTTGAATTAGCTGCCAGACTGACTAAATCAATACATACTAAGGAATGTCTAAGGTACACCTGAGGCAATAATTCGACTTGAGTGGTAAATGAAGTCACGACATACAAAACAAATGCATGTTTCAAATATTAGCACATGAAAAAAAGATACTATCTGACAGAATTCTAAACTTGACAAGCACAAATTTCAAATTACACATTTAAAAGAGCAAGTATGTGATTTTACTAACATCTATATGTGTGCCAGTTAATTGGTATGATAAATGAACAGGATCATTACTTCAGCCATTTAAAATTTATGGAAATTATTAGGAATTTATCTTGTTGACATGAAAGATTCTTTGATCACATTCTTAAAGAAATAAATAATGTTATATAACCAAATTACTTACAATCATCCAAGTCTAATAGGGACACATCTTGTTTAGAAGAAGCTTTTTTCTCTGGTACTGCCATTTGTTTTCTCTGTCAAAATATATGAATATTTCATTTTTGTGATGCCAGTAAAGAGATTCTTCAACACTTTTATAATAGTAGAAAATATTTTCTTCGCTTTAAAAAGAAAAAATATACCCATTTTGATCAGCTCAGCATGCTGAGAGTTCACCTTGTGAGAAGGATTTCCTACCATGGATAAACTGAACTGTATTCCACACAAAAAAACTTGTTAGTTAAAATGAACATTTGAGGCCTCTACTAAGCTTGTTTTACTATGTAGTATTCAAATAAAACTTCTAGGGAGAGACTGAACCTTTCAGGATTTTCTACAGAGAATGCAAGTGGAAAATCTGGTGAAACCACGCCTTTAGAAGGTAAACCAATCTTAAGCAGTGATATTGCTTTCTCTGATCTCACAAATTCATCCAAATGAATGCAATATTATTATTTGTACTGAAGTGGCGCATATAAGACCCAGTCATGGACTACTGATCCAATACAGGCACTGTGCAAACAATAAAAAGATGGTCCCTGCCACAAAGAATTACAACCTTAATCTTAAAATTTGTGGATGATGCACATATTGGCAATGTGGTAGATAAAGACAGGGCAGTCATACCAAGCAATCCAGATTGAATGGATCCTACTTACAGAATTTGTTTTAATACAACCTACTTACAAAATTTGTTTTAATACAGCCACATCTAAAGACAGAAAGCAGTCCATACCTTCAGAATGGGGGACTCTATCCTTGACAGCAGTGAGTCTAAAAGGGAGATAGTGGTCATAATGAACAAACAACTCAATGTGAGTTCCCAGTGTGATGCTATGGCATAATATGATCCTTGGATGTATAACCAGGAGAGTCAGATTAGGGAGGTGACCGATGCTGGAATACTATGTACAGCATCCACATTTTTAAAAAGATGTGGAAAATTTGGAGAAATTTTGGTGCAAAAAAGAGCTACACAAATGATTTAAGAGATGACCAAAATGCCTTACACGGTAAGATACTTAGAGCTCAAAAGAGGATGAAGAGGTGACTTGATTACAGTGTATGAGTACTTTCATGGGGAGAATACACCAGATCTTTAATCTAGTGGAGAAAGGCATAACAAGTACCAATTGCTGGATGTCACAGCCAGACAAATTCAAATTTGAAATAAGGCATACATGGTTAACAGTGAGAATGATAAACCATCGGAACTAACTACAAAGGTACATGGCAGATTCTCAATCTCGTCTTCAGATCAAGACTGGATTCCTTTTTGGAAGACATGCTTTAGTTAAACAAGTTAGGGGGCTCTATGCAAGAGTAGCTGGCAGAAAACTAATGGCCTGTGGTACACAGGAGGTCAGACAAGATCATGTAATGGTTGCCGCTGGCCTTAAAATCTATTAAACTTGTGGGATTTGAAGGTCTGTCAGGGATGGAGGGGAACACCATTCTCCAAAGAATCACTGCCTGACAAACCGCTCAGAACCCTGTCGGCATAAATACCCAGGGTCTTCCCCTTTGTACCTACAAAACCTCTCTTATCTATTTGCCAGCTGCCAGTGCAAATGAACTTGTAGCATAACTCCAAGTGAAGTCTTGCTGTTACTGGAGATGGGACAGGTCAAGGAGCACTGGAAGATGGAAAACTCCACAGATGTCCTATTTTAAGGTAAATTTACCATGGGTATCAGCTTTAGGGCTATTCTAATTTACTTCCAAGCTGCCCACAACCCCAAATACATACCATTTCCAAAATATTAATATACTCGTATATATTCAGGCATGCCAGGGGACAGAAGGTCTTGTGGCTAGTGCAGGCTGGAAACAGGTGAAAGTGTTTCACAGCCAGAAATAGAATCCAGATTGCCTAGGTATGTATATAACCCTCTTCACTCATTAATAAATCATAGAAGAATTTTGTCGACAACACACCTTTGTAAGGTATGGGAAATACTATCCCCATTTTAGGGAACACAGACACAGGATAGATTAAGTGACTTGTCCAAGGTCACAGAGGAAATTGTGGCAGATCCAGGTCTCCAGAGTCCCAGTCTGGCAACAACCAGAAGACCATCCTTCCTCCCTTTTGGTGTAATCTTTGACAAGTTATCTAACTACTCCATGCCTAATTTTCTCATGTGTAAAATGGAGATGATAATTATCTATCTTACTGGGGCATAGTGATATTAAATTACTAATGTTTATGACGTGTTAATGAGATCTTTGCATGGCAGGCAGATGTTTTTAAATAAGTGCCAAGTATGTTTATGACTCTACTTGATGTATGCTTAACTTTGTGGCATGCATGTGCTTTTGTGAAATTTCCACCTTAAACATCTATTTTATAACTGAACTTTTTCAAACATGTCTAAGCATGAATTCCTCCTCAAGGACTCTATAGTTGGCAAATATGAATTTAAAAGTAAAAATACAAAAGAGAAACCATTACCACTACAAACAGTTCTTTTTCTCTCCTGCTGATAACAGGTCACCTTAACTGATCACTCTCCTTATAGTGTATATGGTAACACACATTGTTCTATTTCTTCTCTGTGTGTGTGTGTATGTGTATATATATATATATATATATATATATATAAATAACTTCCTACTGTATTTTCCACTACATGCATCCAATGAAGTGGGCTGTAGCCCACGAAAGCTTATGCTCAAATAAATTTGTTAGTCTCTAAGATGCCACAAGTACTCCTGTTCTTTTTGCAATTAAAAAAAAAGACATTCAAAGGACATAATATAAACTGAGTTAAGATCTGTGATGCATGTCCCCACTCTCTTCCTCCTGACCAAAAAAGGGCTGTGGATATGGACAAGGGAAGGCATTCAGTACACAAATGGTAAAGCAGTGGCATATGACTCTGCTTTATGGTAGGATTAAGGTTCAAGGGCTAATCCTGGTTACGGTTTCATCCTTATTACTTGACCCATTCTGGATAGGACTGTCCAAGATTTTTAACTCCTTTCTTCGGTTTCTGGAGTCCTACTCCTAACCAAACTCTCATGCAGCCAATTAAATTCAATACCAAAAAAGTGTCCCCTTCTCACAAAGGGCCACTGTGGGGAAAGAGTGGAAGTCCTGAGTTTGTCAATAACAACAGTGCCAACTCCATCTGTTGAAAGAATCATGAGTCAAGTCCAAAAAATCCAAAATCTCTTGTAATAACTTGCCTCCAGTAGCTGGAACTTTAAGAAAAAACATCAAATATCTTGAGAATCATGATAAAAGTCATGAGAGTTGGCAACACAGCAATAATAATACTAATAATTGATAGGAAAGATAAGCACAGAAGAAACGACAGCCATCTGAGGAGCAGCAGCTGCTCATTCAACCCTGTACTCTTATCCGGGTTGAGGGTACATAATGCAGAAAAGAGGGTGTGTTTGGCCAACCCATTTTTCTTTTCCACTACCACCAAATTTACATTTTGGGGCTCAAGGGAGAGATGATAAAAATGAGAAGAGGAAGGGGACACAGAACGAAGACGCCACCCTCCCCTTAAAAGACCAGTAACACACAAGAATTTAGCCACATCTTAACCAAGGAATACACCCATTCCAGTTCTGGATAGAACTAGAATCAAAACTATAGGCCGAGCTGTCTTGATTCTAAGAACACAAATAGCCCACCTGTAATTAGAATATGTTCAGATTCAAGGTTGAGATCTGACCATTTTTAGTGTACACTGAACCTTGAACCAATTTTTCCACCACATTACATCCTCGTAGTACTCCTCTGGTTTACTGAAGATTTCAACGATATACCATTTTGTGACACCACAAATATAAAATTAAGTGCATGATTTCAATGAAGACTTCCAATATTCATGGTGTTACATTCTGGAATAGCTTTTCTGAACCAGCAACTAATAAGAACGTATCACAGAGGTTGAAAAATGACTCTTTAAAAGACAATTAAAATGTATTTTCTGCCCTGAAGTCAATTTTCATCTGTTTTGCAGTTCATCTTAGATGTGTGAAAAACATCCCCTATTGGGCTCATGTAACTCAAGGCCTGAACAGGTTTTCCTTTAACTTTCCCAAAATATTTTTGGAGAATAACCGCAACTACAGGATCATTATTTCAATTCTGTAATACATGGCAGAAAATGTCATGTCATTATGTGACTTATTAAAATGCTGTGCTGAGCACAATAGTTGTAGTTTTCCTTCAAACAACAACAGTATACAAGGGCCTTCTGGGAACTGTAGCCTCCCACCCAAAAAATCAAACCAACTAAATCAAGATAAAGTTAAAACATGAGGCAAGTCTTGTTTTCTACTTCATAACCAGGATCCTGTAAACACTATTAAATATACATCAGGTCACAAGCAAACATAAGGACAAGGCAAGTTAAATTGGTCTCTCTTATTACAACTTGATTTTTTTTTCTTTGAATTTTAGAAAGAAAGAAATTCATTGGCTTTCTGGGAATAATAAATAGCCAGGAATGGAAACCAACATTACCAGGAGCTATTTCTACTGAATAAAAAAAAGCCTTGCATTCCAAATCAAGGCTACAAAAAGGTTCTGATGTTTGGCATTTCTCTGTGACATTTTTCTTTTTTTTTTTAAATAAATCCACAGTAAAATCAAAACAGCTTCCTACTGAAAGAACCTTCTATGGAAAAAAAGCTGAATGCTAAACAAAGAAGTTAAGCTATATTCTATCAAACATTTCTCCATTTGCAATTCATTTTGGTAATAGAGATAGAACCTGGATAAATGCATATAGGACTTGAAGCAGGAGATTTCTCTTGCTCAATACATAATTCATGTGCTCCGCCTGCAAAGTGTGTAAAATGAGAATTTCACACCACAGCATGAGCCATGGAGCTGCAGAGAAAAGGCAGATGAAATCATATTTTACTGTGTGAATTTTATTTTTTAGCCTCCCAATATTTATACAAAACCATCATTGACAATCCAAATGCATTGACAGATCACCCACTGTTCCCATTGTGTTAGCACTTGAAAAGAGATCAGGCAGAAAGATAGACAATTTGTTTTTGT